TCACCCAAATCTTTTTAGTCTTGGTGTTCTGCCTAGACATGTAAGGTTGTCTCCTAACCCACATATGCCTCTTCTCTCAAGTATCCATTCAAAAAGGCACTTTTCACATCCATTTGAAACAATTTAAAGCCAAGAAAACATGCAACACCATGCAAAATACGAATAGATTCGAGACGTGCAACTGGGGCAAACGTCTCATCATAGTCAACACCCTCTACTTGTGTGTAGCCTTGAGCAACCAACCTAGCTTTGTTCCTAACAACTGTACCATTCTCATCAGATTTATTTTTAAAGATCCACTTGGTACCTATCACATTCATGTCTCTAGGTCTGGGAACTAGAGTCCAAACTTTGTTACGTTCAAATTGACCTAATTCTTCATGCATAGCATTGACCCAACTATCATCTAGCAAGGCCTCTTTAAAATTCTTAGGTTCAATTAATGAAACATAACACATATGTGATACCTCATCCCGAATCTGTCTTCGGGTTTTCATTCGATCCGAGACACTTCCAATCACCTGTTGAGTTGGATGGTTCAGTTTCACCCTTGCTGATGGTTTTAGCTCAGGACTTGCGGTGACAGAAGCAACAGGAGTGATATCCCTTTGTGCACTCTTTGGACTTGCACTTACTTGTGAGGATGGAGTTGTAGCACTTTCTTGTGATTGGTCCGCAGATTCTCCTTGATTTTGTGGTTCAGTATCCAAGATTGGAGATTCATCATTGTCATCCTCATTTGCTGCTGGAGTAGGTGCACCTGTGTCATCTATAACCACATTGATAGATTCCATTAAAGATGAAGTTCGCAGGTTATAGACTCTAAAGGCCCTACTGTTGGTTGAATACCCTAGAAAAATACATTCATCACTTCGAGAGTCAAATTTGCCCAAAGGCTCTCTACCTTTGAAGATGTAACACTTACCCCCAAAGGTTTTGAAGTATTTTACATTAGGTTTCAAACCCGTCCACAATTCATAAGGAGTTTGTAAAGTGCCGGGCCTTAAATACACGCGATTTATGACATAAACAGCAATATTTAGGGCTTCAGCCCAAAACTTT